AGCAAAGAATCACGGTGAGACAAACACAGGAAGAAACGCTCAGAAATGTTCACCGGGGCAAAACAAAACTTCACAACTAGGAAGAGTCTGAGAGCGGCTTAAATAGCCCACTGATGCAAGTCAGGTGCGAGAGTAATCAGTGCCAGGTACGTGAAGGGGAAATGTAGTCCTAAAGGGAGTTAATATTCGGGAGAGGGATCCCTCTGGTGGCGAGCGGGAGGAACTGCGGAAGTCTCGTTTGTGGGTTCTGGAGGATTGCAGGATTCCTCGTCAGCAATCCCCACAGTAAAAGAAGATACACTTAATAACAAGGCATAGTTAATGTATTTAGCCAAGGGGAAATGGATTTTCCCCCTGGCATTTGAGAGCGGATGGGTTCGTTCAAACCAAACCGAAAAATGTCCTTAAGTGCCATGTCATTAAAATCAACTAGGTGACTAAGTTCACAAAAGTCCTCAGCATAGTCCTCAATACAGCGATAGCCAACACATTTGACTCTTTTATCTGTAAGGCAGATTTTCAGTTGCTACAGTGTTACAGCTGTTCCCAGTCATCTGGCACTGTCTGAGGTCACCTATCAAGCCAGCAGGGACATGTGCAAACATACAGAAACACAAATGCACACATTTGCACATGTGAAAACACTGCATATTCATCTTCGGTTGTGGCAGGTTCAAGCTGAAATCCCCCCTGTTGAGCCAAGTGTTACTTTTCCGCTTGACTTGATTCCTGCATCCGCTCTCACGGACAAGCACACACACGCATACACAAGACACACACATACTCTTTCAACACTGAGTGACTCATTCTACAAACACACAAAGACATATGCACACTGATTAGGGCTGTTTCTTATGCGAGGGGTTCACAGTCTGGTGGGTGTTTAAAACTGTTTAAAGGAGGAAGTTGTGGACTGTCGCACAGTGTTTGTTTAAATAGTAATAGAGATTAAGGGTGAAAATGAAAGGAGAAAACACATCAGCTACAGCTACAGGACTGTGGATTTTCAGGTTCGTATGGTCGAGTTTGGAGGTCTCTGTTCCCACAAACCAGGCAAATTCAGATTTCATCTGTGCTGTGAGCCGTCATTAATGCTCTTTTTTATAAATAAATGTTGCTCCAAAATAACATCTCTGTGTTAGACACTCAGCATGGGCCATCCATTTATGTATAAATGCTTATTTAATTTAATAGAGGACATGCATTTTTTTCGATGGTCTCACATCGAACACATTTTAATAATTTGAACTGTATGTTGACTCCCAAATTTATTATTATAATTTTTTTATATTAAATAAAACTGGCTGATTTGTGCAGGACACCACTGCTGATATGTGCATTGGAGCATGACATACTGTTATATCCTCATTGATAATTTAACATATTCACTCTGTCTGACTGCAAACGTAAACGATCCTTCAGGTTTTTTTCTTCCCTCAGATTCCCATGTCAATACAATACTCAAATTACCTCAACAAACCTCTTGTAACAGTTTGCCATATTAGGGATGTCAGTGTTTTCCTATTTTAGGCTTTGTGCTATTCATTGAACCGCAGCAAATTTTAATTAAGAATTCAACTACCAATAATGCAGTTGATCAGCTGTTCCTAATTCATTTATGAGGACAGAGAGGAATCAGATAATTATGGCACACATATCCATCATAGACAAAAGTGTTCTTTGTTAAGTCAGCTGATAAGAAAATATATTTAGTCTTTTATCATTTTGTTCGTATTATTTTACTTACAAAAAGAAATCTTAAATTTTAAATTGCTTAAATGTAGTTATTGAGACTAATCTCACACTTTTTTTCTTCTTTTCTTTCTTTCTTTCTTTCTGTCTTTCTTTTATTTATTTATTTATTGTAAAGTTGATTCTATATTTAACAGCACAATAAATAATTTTATACATTTCCACACTAGGTGCCAAAGGCTCTAATAAATATCTCTGAAAGTTTGCTGGTTATGATGGTGGTGAGGAGATAAATGGTCAATAAAAAGTGGAACTTCTGGTATCAATGTAATTCATACTGCAGTGACATCAGCATATGGGCCTGACAAGCAAAAGTCTTTGTCTCTGCTCTGAAGAGCAAGATCGTGTGTGTGTGTGTGTGTGTGTGTGTGTGTGCGCGTTTTTGTGACAAATGAGGACATACATTTGTATAATGACAAGGGTATGACATAGGTATTACAAGGAGAAGGTGACTTTTCAGGACATTACCCCATGTCCCCACTTTTCAAAACGCATATAAATCACACAGAATGGAGTGTATTGAAAATCTGAAATAGTACAAATTTTCCCAGTGAGGGGTAGGTTTAAGGGTAGGGTTGGTGTAGGACAATAGAATATACGGTCTGTATGGTATTAAAACCATTACGCCTATGGGATGTCCCCACTTTTCACAAAAACAAACCTGTGTGTGTGTGTGTGTGTGTGTGTGTACAGATGCGTATATTTGTGAGTTCAATATGCATACTTAGGCCCACATGAAATCTGCAGGCATATAACAGAAACATACAACTGCTGAACGTGAAAAAAGTCAACTTATGCAACATTAATTCCAGATCAAAGATGTTCACGCCCATTTTCAGTACAAACCAATAAGAAAAGTGATCTGCGATGAAAGCACCTCAGAACACATTTTCAGTCAGCAACAGAGCACTCACATGCACTTAAACACTCCTTCACACTTAAGAGACATCCCAATTTCCCCTCTATTCTGCCTTTCAACCTTCTCTTTCTTTCTCTCTCTGCTATCTGACACATTAGCGTCGCACATGGAAGTAACCAGTAACCATCTTTGCCTAGTAAAACATCCAAACCCCTCAGTCTCAGGGCCCTTCAGATCTCCTGTCGTCTAACACATCGATATAGGGAAGCTTTTTAAAATCATCTACACACACTGCATACAAAAAAATCAAGAGCGCCGCCTTGAAGAGAGAGTGTATGAAAGAGGAAGGGGCAAAAAAAACATGTTTGAGCATGAAAAGCAAAGCATGCATGTTGGGAGGGCTCCAAAAGAGGGCCAGCCAAGAAAGAAATTAAAGTACAGCGATTATCTGGACCCAGAATTAGAAGCAGAGTGTTTTGGACTAATAAACATTTGAAACACACCCCAGGGCCCTCACCATCATTTATTACTCCACCATCTCCCATTAATGTGTTTTTTTTGGGGGGGTTTCTTCATTTTTTTTTTCTTCATCAATTCCCAGGATGTTTTAGGTAGATTTTATTAATTCTTGCTGGCAGAGTTTAATGAAAGGTTGTTGGTTATTTTTTTCCTCTTCCTTTCTCAATCCCTTCCGCTTTGAATGTACTGATCCGGTGTTTTATTTCGGTCTTCTAATGACTGTATCATTGTTATCAGTAACTCTTGGCGTATTACAGGCCAACAAAGAGTGGTCATCAATTAACTGACACCATCCCTACCCCCAACTAATGGCGCTTTTCCACTGCACGGTACGGCTCGGTACGGTTCACTTTTGGGGGGTTTTCCACTGGGTAAAGTACCTGGTACCTGGTACTTTTTTTAGTACCACCTCGGTTGGGGTTCCAAGCGAACCGTACCGTTACCAAAACGTGACGTGTAAACTCTGCTGATCACATATTGGCCGGAGAGAATCGTCACTACCTGCGTCACTGAACTTGCGACACAAACACAAAAGAACCGCTAGATTTAAATCCGCACAGCCAGCGAAGGATCGAACGCAACTGTTTTGAACGAGCGCACCTTTTTTTAACAACCAAAAAGTGGCTGTTCCCCCTGTTGAGGAAGTACAGACGTTCCTCTCGTTGATAGCAGAGGAGCGGATCCAGCGAGAGCTTGATGGGGCGACGCGGAATGAAAAAGTTTTTTAGGAGTCGCGGCAGTAGAGGCGGCGCAACTATAACGACATGTGAATAATCCCGCCCACTCTAAAGCGGTACTGAACTGCAGTGGAAACGCAAACCGAGCCAAACCGAGCCGTGCCGTGCCGTACTGAGCCATACCGAGCCGAGTCGTATCACGCAGTGGAAAAGCACCATAAGTGTCCCGTTCTGACCCCTCAGCACTACTCTTAAGCTTATCAACTACCAAAACAAACCACCCCTCTTCAGTCTCTCACACACAGAGACTAGCACACTGTACATGTATACACACACTCAACTCAAAGCCTATACACATTCACAAAGATTTTATTGCAGTATATCAGGCACCGATGTTCAGCAGCAGTGCTATTGCAAAAAAAATGATAGTTTATGAGTTCTTAAAAGACAGTGTGCCACAAAATAATGCAATGTAAATGCACAAAAATCTTCTTTCGCATTTCATTTGGTGGCTACATACAAAAACAATGTTACACAATAAGTGTAGTCCAAAGAAATAGTTTTATCATGTGACTGGAGTAATGGCTGCAGAAAATACTGATTTTCCATCACAGGAATATTTTTTTAAATATATTAAAATAGAAAACAGTTCATTTTAAATTGCAATAATATTTCATAGTATAACTGTTTTTACTGTATTTTTAAGCAAATAAATGCAGCCTTGTGAGCATAGGAGACTGTTTATTTATTTATGTATTTATTTATTTATTAAATTTAATTAAATTTTACTGACCCCAAACTTTTGCATGTTAGTGTGCATGTTCACAAAAGAATTTAATTGTAATGAATTTCATTGTAATTAGAAAAAATTATAAATAAACAAACAAACAAACATTGTATAAGAAACATCACTATATATTACATTCAAAATCTCCAGGAAGGACTCTTGCGAATAAAAAAAAAAAAAGCGAATACAGGCTGCGGGAAACACTCTCACACTGTCTCACGAAAGACGCCGCCCTCATGGCGTCTCCCGACAGTCCAGAAGGTGGAAATGATTTGTGAATCCTGGGAAGATTAAGTGTACAGCTTAGTGCTCTGTGACCGCTAGTTTATACTTTTTTAATTCTTTCCCTCCATCTCACCCTCCCTCTCTCTTCCAATCCCTATGTACCCCCTCTCTCGCTCTCCAGGTAGACAACAGTAAGCTCACAGTCGGGTGGAGCCTGTGGCGAGCGAGCGCTCCGATTGGTTGCCGTGTTGCGTTTCACCGCGTCATGCGGGCAGGATGGATGTGAAAGAACGCAGGCCGTACTGCTCACTGACCAAGAGCAGGAGAGAGAAAGAGCACCGCTACACGGGCTCATCCGGCGACAGCGAGGACTGCCGCGTGCCCACCCAGAAGTCCTACAGCTCCAGCGAGACGCTCAAGGCCTTCGACCACGACTCCTCACGCCTTCTGTACGGAGGCCATGTCAAAGAGATGGTCCACCGAGAGGCAGACGAGTATAGCCGCCAAGGTGAGTCACCTGCGCCTGTCATCCCTCAAAAGATGCAGGCCGCATCCATTATGACTTCACCCAGTATAGAAGTCACATGTCATACAGCTTTAGAGCACATATTGAAAAAAAGAAATAATAACATATGCCTAGAAATACGACAAGAATGCACTTTTGAATGCATCACATTCAAATAATAATATATGGGATGTACAACCATAATTATACATAATTAGAGGAAATTAAGTTTGGTTTGGCACGACCGCACGCTTTCTCTGAGAAAACATTTACTTACTTTTGATTGAAAAATGAAGCAGATTCAAAACAGATTAGACAGATTTACGCACACATACTCACTCTGATACTTGTTTAGTCGACAGAACGAAGAAATAAAACATTTCCTCTGATTAGTGTGATTCAAACCCCTCGACCCGGCCTCTCATTTTCAGATCCAAAGTTTCCCTTATAACATATGCCCATGTGTCCCATTGGCAATAATGAATGGCACCATAAAAAACATAAACAGCATTATTGCGCTGTTCTGAAGTTTGCAATGTGCCCTGGTCGGCCACAGTTTTATTACTAATTATGAGCACAGAGGGTCCGCAAGCACTCGCACAGCCTCACTTTTATAAACTCCTGCACATTCATTGAGTTCTTTGTTGTTTTCTTTTTGTTTCTTCTGCATGTAAGGCTTCATCAAAATATACAGCAGTCAAGGTGAGTTTTGTGCTGTGGATATAGCACAAATGTAGATTTGGGTCAAATGTTTTTTTCCTTAGGTGTTGTGCTTGTCTGTGTTGCGATAGAGGTTAGCACTGCGTGTTTGTGTGCCCTTAACGTAAGTGCTGTGTTAAGCTGAAGGTCAGCCTAGCTGCTATCAGTCACTGGAGTGCTAGAGGCTCTGTCTGTTGAGTGTGTTTATTTTAGAAAGCACAGGAAGTGACACCAGATTACAGCAGGGGTTAAAGGAGCAGCCTGCCTCCAACCATTATGCAGGGTAGCCCACTCTATCACAGAGAGAGAGAGAGAGCGTAAAGGCGCTCACAGATGTAGTGCAGACACCGTTGAGCTCTTGAGGGACTGCACTTCAGCCTCAACACGGTCTTCAACACTCTCCCCATAATCACCCTGCCGCAGACGTCACCTAACCCAGTCCCAAGCCCTAACCTTGGCACGCAACGGCGTTCGTCATGAAACTAATTCCTCCCGTGTGATATATTTTTAGCCTTTAGACCATTGCAGAAAGCGATACCTAGATAATTAATTTTGCGGAATAGAAAGGACCAGGCAGGCAAACTGAAATTGTTAATTAGCCATTACACAACAATGGCAGATTGGAATTACTGAGATCTGAAATAACGTATCCTTGCTGGGAAGTGCTGCCATTCAGTTCCATTACAAAGTTCTATAAAGGTCATTACCAGTTCATTGATTGCTTTCAAACACAAATTAACACTTCATAAATATTTGAGCAGAAAAGCCATAATTGCTCAATTATCTTATCCTGTACAATTTCATCTACACTAATTGGTAATTTGGAATTTATATGATTTTAATTGAACTTCGGTGGAACCCCGATTATTTCTGTAGTTAATAGCCCTTATTAATTCCTGTTAATGCAGGGGATCAATGGTTTTCTTTTTCCTTTTTTTCCCCTTTTTTATCGTCAGCCTAATAAAATATGCGGCTCTTTGCAGTGATTGTTTTAACATGACATTCTGTGGATTAAAATAATAAGTCACTTACATGTGAAAACTTTATTAGGTTATTAGGTATATTTCATAAAATACTTAAGAATTTTTAAATAATTTGCAAGGTAGATATGATTTATTTGATTAAATTCAATTGATTTGATTTAGTTGATTTTATTTCTTTTTTCACAAAGAAATGCATTTAAAAACATTTTGAAATCATTTGATTGTTTTTCTTTGAGTCATAACCATTAAAACTTATGAGGATCTGGTTGCTAACGACTAAATAAATGATCCGTTTAAAGACCAATATGTTTCTGCAATATATATGGTTCTCAGTAAATGTGAGGAAGGTTTTTTTCTTCTGGCACTGCGGTTTTTCAGGCCTCACTGTTTTTGGAGCCGCGCACACCTATCACCATGGCAGATAAGCTCCCTCCATGGAATGCAGTCTGCTCCGCAGAATAATTCTACAGAATACAGAGTTTGGAAATCATTGGATCCAGACAAAAAGAACGGGAAATGAATTATAAGTCGTAGCGGATGCTAAGTTGAAAGTCCTTTCACATTGTCTAATGTGAAGATACATTTTAAATTTTGGATTTAATGGACTGTAAAATAATATGTTATTTTTAAATAACTGTAAAATTATATGTTTATTTTTGCATGGATTAATTTGTATAATGTTTTAATGTTGTGTGTTTTTTTATTTCTTTTGTTTTATTTTTTATTTTATTTATTATTTTTATTTTATTTTTTATTTTTTTTGTTTGGTTGTTGGTTGTTTTATGAAAAGTTTTTGTTTGCTTGTTTGTTTGTTTGTTTGTTTATGTTTATGGAATGCAAGTTAAAGAATTTAAAATAATTTATTCTTATATATTAAATTTGTATATGTTGTTCAAAAATGTAGTTGTGCATTTATTTGACACATCTGAGCATATTATTCATTATTTTATTTTTATGTTGAAGTAAAGGTGATTACTCCATTATTTAGTATGTATTCATTGTCCACTTTTTTGTTCTTAGTTATTCTTAATTGTAGAAGGAAAATGTGTCAGTATTTAAAATGCAATTAATCTGTAAAAATGTAATTCTTCAAAAGTGATGTTTCATATGTATTCATAATCAGCATAGAATTAGCATTATCAATTTAATTAGTAGTATATATTAATATTTAAAACAACAATGCATTTCACTTTGTAGATGTATTTTCTAATTATATATTATTTGTTTGAGGTAGTTTTTAATTTTAATATGACTTTCAAGATGTAGCAGTTTTTTGTAGTGGTATCCATCTTGCCTTTGAAGTCAGATATTAACAGCCTGGAGACATTTCTGAAATCATCATCCAGATTTAAAGTGATAAACGTACCAGTTTGACTGCTAACACACTATGGCATGATGAAGTTATCTTCTAGTCTGTACCACATTTCCCTTTACAGTCTATATTTGTGTGTGTGTTTCTGTCTGCCTGAAACGGCACCTATTCACAAACTTCAAGCTCAATCATTTCACTGCTAAAGTAATTTGATTTTAATTGCAAAATTATCTAATGATTAGACAACTGAACACAGCAGCATGCTAGAGCTGTTTTTTCTGTTATTATTAGTATCACCTTCATTGTGCAAACGTAAGTCTTACAATAAATAGTATGACAGTTTTGATTACAGAAAATCAAATATAAATTGTGATTTTGGCTGTGCCGGCTTGACACGGATGTAAATAATCCTTCATTTCAGTAGTGGTTTTCCCTCAGTTTGAGATTTTGCACAGCCCAAGAGACTGCAGTCAGTTCATTAAAACATTTTTAAAGAGTGTGTAAATGGCTGTTTAGATATGTTGCCGCGGTGTTCCCTCTCACAGCTAATTGCTGCCGTTTATCTCCAAATTTTGGAATTATTTCCAAAATACATGTAGAAGGTGCACAGAGAAAACGTCATCAGTCTCACTGTAAAACACATTTTTCAAGCTCATTTTCGAGCTCACTTAGCACAACTATTTAAGTTGGTTATTCTCAATCTTGTTTTTTTTTTTCCTTTGAGTTGTTACTTGCCCACATCTTTGTGCTTGTTAAAATTTCACCTAATGCATGTGCCTTTCTTTCTTTCTGTCTTATATGTTTTTCCCCTCTTTTCTGTATTGTCATTAGGTGAGCTAGTATACACATCATAGTCGTTCAGCAGAGAGCAAATTTCTGGTAACTTGGGTTTATAATTGTGGTTACAAAAACCGATCAGGACTCACATGTGCATTGTATTGTGGGTGTTCGGGGAACAGACTGCTAAGTCTGCGGATATTTGACTGTCTGATGAGATTTGATAGTCTCTTTGTTCCACACATGGGGTGTTAGTTTGCCTTCCGTATAGTGTGTGTGAGTTGTTTACAGAAGCTTTCCTTTCTGTCTGGCTTTTGGGTCAGTTGATACAATACAAAAAAATAAATAAATAAATAAAAAAGATAGATTGCGGTATCAATTTACAGCTTTATTTTTATTTTCTCTTCCCCTTTCTTTGGAGCCGTGGATCTTTTCATTGCGCGACACTCCCCAAATGGCTCCCCAGATGCCAGCAAGGCCCATTTACCTGTCAGCTTGTGTTTTAGCAACACTCTATGGGTTCTTCCCATCCCACAGAACAGACCAACAAAGCATACCTGAGCTTCCCCTGTCCACACACACACATGTGAAAGAGACCACTCTGTACTCACAATGAGAACCACTTACCATGACGTCCAGCCCGCGAGGGGGGGGGGTTCTAGTGAGCTTCTAGTGCTTCTAGTGGCCAGGGAATTAGAGAATTCTAGTTTATTTGTCATTCTCTTGATACTATAAGTGCACATGGCAGAAATAATCACAGAAAACAGCAGTCAGACTTCAAAATAGAACATTAAATGGGCTCTTTTTAGTGTCTCTTTGATTGATTGTTTCCTCTGCTTAACTAGGGCATGTGGAATGTGTCTTACTGTGTTTGAAACGGTTGCTGCATTATAAGTGTGTGTGTGTGTGTGTGTGTGTGTGTGTGCGTGTGCGTGTGCACATCTATGTGTGTGTATTGCGTTTGTAGCATTGTGTGTAACTACAATTATTTATAGGTATAGATTCATATGAGTAGACTGACAGGGTGCAAAAGCTATTTTTCATTATTATTATTACTTTTATATATATATTTTTTGCATGTATTATTCATTTTCATATACACCCACTACAATTCAAAAGTTTGAAATTGGTAAGATTATTTAATGTTTTTAAAAGTCGTCTCTAATGCTCACCAATGCTGCATTGATTTGCATTTATCAAAATTAAATAAAAACAGAACAATTGTGAAGTATTATTACAATATTAAATAACTGTTTTCTATTTTAATTTATTATAAACTAATTAATTCTTGTGATGGCAAAGCTGAATTTTCAGCAGCCATTACTCCAGTCTTCAGTGTCACACGATCCTTCAGAAATAATTTTAATATGCTGATTTGGTGCTCAATAAATAATTTTAAAACATTTGTGCTGCTTAATAGTTTTTGTGTTCAAAAGTAAAGCATTTATTTGAAATAGAACATTTCAACATAACATTATAAATGTCTCTTTTTATCAATTTAATGCATCTTTGCTCAATAAATGTATTAATTTCTAACTCCAAACATTTGAGCAGAAGTGTGAGTGTGTGTATGTCTATAAATATATTTCTAGGGTTTGAAAGAATTGAACAATTAATATAAAAATGGTAAAAGATGTAGCATACACACTGATATTTTCTTTTTACTTGATTTTGTTCTGCTTACATGTGATATATAAGCAAAGTAACTCTCATTCTTTCATATCAATTAAACTCACATATTACGTTGCCATTTTTTTAATGGTACAAATCAATTGCAGAATAAGAATTTTATTTACTCACCAATGCTATCACATTTGGCACCTGCAGATTGTTTGTAGTGGATCATGTGTATAGATATATGCTGAATTAGTTTGTTTCTTTTACAGGGCAGAACTTTAACCTGAGGCAGCTGGGAATATGTGAGCCAGCCACACGCCGTGGCCTGGCCTTCTGCGCTGAGATGGGCCTCCCCCACCGCGGCTACTCCGTTGGCGCAGGCTCAGACGTGGACACTGAGAACGAGCGGGTGATGTCACCGGAACGTGCCATGCGCCTCTGGGGCAGGGGTGTGAAGTCTGGCCGCAACTCCTGCTTGTCCAGCCGCTCCAACTCAGTCCTGACCCTGACCGACACAGAGCACGAGAACAAATCAGACAGTGAGAACGGTGAGTGGAGCCACACTAGGGCCGCAATCAGCCTTTTAGTCCTGATCCAGCTAGCTCGAACTTTTTTTCTACCATGCTGAAAAATCCAGCTTAAGCTGATACTTGTGTTTTGGATCATGGTAACTGGTTTCTAGCTGGTCTGAGATGGTCATTAGCCATCTTGGACCAACAACAAACAAGCTTCCAGTGAAGCTTAAGGTGCTCAAGCTGGTTTTTGGAAAATTGTGAGTGTTTAAATGACCAGTTTGAACCGGCTAGAAATCAGCAACCATGTTCCATAACTTAATATGGATTTTACAACATAGAGGACCCTATCAAATAAATTACTTATAGATTATATACATCTCTCTTGCACAATATTACCATTATCACACTCTTTTGACTTTTATCATGACTGGCCACAGAGTCAATAACTTGCAGAATGAAGTCAATACATCCGCATGCACTCTTTCTCTTTATACCCGTTCCACTGCTTCCGCAGCCCTGGGGGGACCCTCCAGCGGAAGGTCCGTCTTTGTGTCGGGTGCTAGGAGACCTTACCTAGCCATCGTTGGAATGCTCCGCTCGCATGAGCGAACACACACAATGGCTGGTTATCAGGCCCCAGCGGTTTGAAGTGCAAATTTGATCATGCTTGAAACCTGGAGAAGTGATGGAAGTGACGATCTCTCTCTCCCTCTCTCTCTCCTTCTTTTTCTTTGGTGCCGTCGTTCATTCCCACAAAGCAGCTGTGATGGTTCAAAGAATGCTCAGGTGACAGGCTTCCTCTGGGCCTCCCCGCCACACTTCCGCTGCCACTCTCCCAGAGCGGGGCCTCGGCGGGGGGAAATGTCATCACGGCCTCCCATGCTTTTTTGATTATATTCTTATTCACACTAAAATCCCTCAGATTTGTTTCTTGTTGTTCTTTTCAGGTCCAATTGGAAATGAAATGGGGGAGTTTTTATTTTTTCCCTCTCTCTCTACTATTTTTTTTCTCATGAATTGAATTGAGAATTAAAGCTGCTGACAATGAGGTAAAGGACAGCCATTTTGAAGGAAAGGGAGAAAATGAAGAGCTGAATCATTCATTATCTTCCCTGCACACACTCTCCTGTCACTTATTCTCATTTATTAATATTCTTCTGACTAACAGGTGTTGTGTGCAAATAACCTTTAAGAAGACCTTATCTAATCACTTTCATTAAAACCTTTTGGCTTAATTAAGGAAAGCAAAGTGCTGAGTGTGTAGGATTGTTATATTTGCTTCCATTATGAGATGAATGTGTGGGGTGACTCTCATATCTCTGATGACCAGAGCAACCCACTCTTCCTTAGGGAGCATATTCTGCGGGTTTTATATATACTTTCCTTAATGTAGTTAATATTTGTGAAAGAAGCCATGTATGTATCTCAGATTTATATCAAAAATAAGAGAAGAAAATTGTGCTAAGGGGTTCTTAAACAGGGGGCCCCTGCAAACGTCCAAGAGGGCCCCAAAATGACTTAAATGAATGTAATATAGGATAAAACAACTAAAAAGCAGCATATTTCTTATTTTATTTATTTATTATTATTTAATTTTTTAATTTTAATTTTATTTTTTTGTCTTTGAAGAACCAGAATTCCCACAGTCTTGGAAAACCAGTATGAATGAGGAAGCCTCATTTTAGCCTCATTTTAAAAGTATGGTTTTTATACCTGGGGAAATCATGTAAAGTAATAACTTTTTATAACTCTATGGGCATTTTTATAATGAATATATACTCCAACCCCCTAAAATATTTTATGATGAAGAAATTGTAAGAGAAAAAAAATACATATACATATATTAAAATAAAAAAAAATACGTATCCAGTAGGTCTTGAACCACTGCTCTAACTGATATTTTAATTCACTAATAAAAAAGAAATAGCACACAGAAATTGGATTTTAAACCCAATTTTAACTATTTACTTAACTATTTTATATTTTATTATTATCATATGAAATATACATTTTATTATTATTATTGCAGTAAAATATAGACTTATGATTAACATTTATCTTGACTTGTCCACCATCTTGGATTAATTTTTTGCACTGAGCATAATTGCAGCATAAATGCAGCATAATTAAATTGTAACAGCCTATCTTTTGTAACAGCCTATCATGTTTTAAAATGCCTCCTCTGTCGGGCAGATCAGTAGGTTTTGTAACAGAGCAATTGTTTAGATTTTTTTTTTTGCACAAGTGTTAACATGTAACATAAGTGCATGTGGGTTTTTTTCTAATTGTCTCATTGAATTGTTGCAGTTGCTGAGGCTTATGTCCTAACAAGAGACAGCTGCAGACAGTGTTAGTGAGTCCATGAGGAGAAAATAAAAATAATATTTTCTTTCTTTCCTTGATTTGTTTCACAAGATCTTTGGTATTTACTTCAGCTACCGTTTCCCTCCAAGTCATGCCTCTTGACATGAATGTTGAAAAAATCTTTCTCCAGCCATACCAAAAGATTTCCTGTTTACATGTGCCTGGCCTCACCATAGAAGAAAGTGTGTCCAAATGATTGACACACTGTTTGGCTTTTTCTGCCTTTTTCCCTGACTCCCCTCTCTACCGAATTCAAGATGCAGTCATTTGAAGCTTTCAAGATTTTTCTGCTTGTCGCCTCAGAGCTTGATTGTGTTTGTGCGGATAGGCCATCGGCCCTCGCGACACTGCCTTTTGACTTCAAACGCAATGGAGGTTAATTCCATTTGGGGAAAAAGCGGGATTTGTCAACCAGAAGCTGAGAGTGGAAGTGAAAGAGGTGTATGTAGCGCTGTCAGACACGGTTCTAGTGAAAGGATCTCAATTCTGGTACCACATTTCCAAGTTCACCCTTAAACTCTATTAGAGAGTACACTGAGAGAGACGCTCACACAGAGACACTCTCGGCTCAGCATAGAGAGCAGTCGAAATGCCTGCTCTCGCTCTTTGGACTTAATATCCTGTAATGGAGAAGGGGTCGGGAGAAACACCTGAACACAATGTGTTCCGCTGCAGCAGAAAAGAAGGGAGAGGGAGAAAGGAAAGGAGAGGGCGAGTGAGAGATGGCCGCTAACAAAGGAGGGATATTTTGTCCTCCGTCTCCTGGGGACATTTGAGCCAGGGATGCGCTTCACCGCATGCCCACCAGTGTCTCCCTCTTCCTGGGTCACTGGACACCTGCTCACTCCCCCGCAGGGAGCGAATGAAAGGAGAGGGAAAGACACACACACATAAACACAAGCAATTTTCACAATAAAGCAAAGAAAAATAAATATACTTTTAAAAAAACGAATTCAAAACTAAAATATTTCTTTCTTTCTTTCTTTCTTTCTTTCTTTGTAGTAATGAGCAGTTAAATGTATGCATGTATAATAATAATAATAAATAGTTATTGTTATTTAATTTTATTTTGCATGTATATTTTTATTATATTTTTATGGATATATACACTACTTCAAATGTTTTGGGTCGTTAAGATATTGTTAACGTATTTGAATATTTATATGAATATTAATATATACACGTAAATACATGTAAATATATTCAATATGTATGCTGTATGTGTGTGTCTTTATATATACATAATAAATATACACAGTACACACACATATATTATGTAAACAAAAACATTTATTTTGGATGCGATTAATCATTTGACAGCACTAATATATATATATATATGTGTGTGTATATTGTCCTGTAATAAAAAACAGGAAAAATCATATTAAGTAAAAACTTTTGTTTTTGTATTCTGCATAATCATGATTTCCATTTCCATAATCAATATTTAAAACTACAATACAACTTACAACAGAATACAACAGAAAATGCTGTGCCTCCTCTGTCATTTGCAGTCATCTTGCCATGATATGACACCTGCTCCTCTGTCTGGATCTGTTTTTGATTTTGAACTTGTTTGAAGCTCCTCTCTATTTCTTTCTCACTCACTCACTCACTCACTCACTCACTTTGTAGTAATGAGCAGTTAAATGTATGCATGTATAATAATAATAATAAATAGTTATTGTTATTTAATTTTATTTTGCATGTATATTTTTATTATATTTTTATGGATATATACACTACTTCAAATGTTTTGGGTCGTTAAGATATTGTTAACGTATTTGAATCTCTTATGTTTGCCAAGGCTGCATCCATTTGATTGAAAACACAGTAAAAACAAATTGTGACATATTATTACATATTATTATACCTGTTTTCTATATTAATATGATAGATAGATGCACCCTTGCTTATTTAAAGTAAAAATTTCTTACATTAAAACAGGAAAAATCATATTAAGTAAAAACTTTTGTTTTTGTATTCTGCATAATCATGATTTCCATTTCCATAATCAATATTTAAAACTACAATACAACTTACAACAGAATACAACAGAAAATGCTGTGCCTCCTCTGTCATTTGCAGTCATCTTGCCATGATATGACACCTGCTCCTCTGTCTGGATCTGTTTTTGATTTTGAACTTGTTTGAATCTCCTCTCTATTTCTTTCTCACTCACTCACTCACTCACTCACTCACTCACTCACTCACTCACACACACACACACACACACACACACACATCTGCGCACTACAGGGGGTTTAGGGGAAGAGGGATAGAGATGGGGGAGAACCCTAACTACGGGAGAAAGAACCGAAGACCTCAGCTGACTATTCAGGGTCTCGTTAGCACCGCTCCCCGACTGAGGTTTTAATGTGTCTCCATTTTGATTTGGGTTATTTCATTATTTTGGCGGGCTTTAATAAAAAATTGCACAGCAGATATGAGAGAGCTTGCCCTGCTGTGAGCAAGGAAGCAGTTGCGCTGCCATTTGGCCATGTACCCGGCTGAGGGAGAGAAAGTTCCAGAACTGGCATCTAAACTCGCCCCGTTTTTTAAGAGCCTGTGAAGCTACATCAAAGTATTTGACAGGAGAGAAGCAGGAACTTCTCCGTCCTGACACTTTTTTTTTTTTCTGACTGGAATGCCTCACTTGAATGCTCACA